GAAGGAAGGAAGGAAGGAAGGAAGGAAGGAAGGAAGGAAGGAAGGAAAGCTGTTTCACATATTTATTTCTAAGAGAGTGTTTTCCTTCACCTTTGAAGCCTTCGGTATACACCTCAGGAAGAAACTTCGTGCTGATGTCTCCCTGGATAAACCGTGGATGCTTTATTACCTCACGTAGCAATGCTATATTATGAGTAACACCTGAAAATAAAACATTTATTCTCATTAGATTAGCAGCCAGAGAACATATGCTTAATGATATTTGAATTGACAAGTCAAAGCATCCTCCCAAAAAAAGCACTAGATGAGAAATCCCTGAATAAATGAATTTTAATGTCAATAATTTTTACTATTTAATAGAACAAATTTAGTGTAGTGGATAAGACATCAGGCTAGAAACCAGGAAACTGAGTTTGGTACATCAAAATTGGGTGATCTTGGGCCAGTTACTCTCACTTCTAAGTAGGAGACTATGGCAAACCGCTTCTGAAAAACCTTGACAAGAAATCTTCAGGAACTTCTTCAGGCAATTGTCAGGAGTCAAATCTAACTTGAAAGCAACCCCCCCACCCCCACCCCCAAAAAATAATAATAATTGTGAAACACAGCAATCAACCAGGAATAATCCAAATATTTGAGCAAAGCAATTGGCTTCACATTTTTTCAACAGAAATATTAATATAAAAATGGATATTCCATTTTTTGTGGAAAAATAGCCCTGTACATGGATTTACTTCATGCACTAATAATCTTTATCATCCTTTGTAACAGAAGATCTACATTTTAAAAAAAAATCCAGGTGTCAAGATTTGGATGGAAATACAAGTTCCATAGAGGAAATAGGTAACAGAGTTGCAAATAATGAAAATTCAAAGCTGAAATGGAGGCAGGCAAGATGTTACTTCACATTTTTTTTAAAAAAGGGGTTCAATATGAAAAATGTGGGTGCCTGCAATGGATACCTTCTCTATCCGTGAAGGATTATCATCTAATTGAGGATTGGAGAATCAGAAGTGGACAGTTAGTCTCCATAAATAAAGGTTTATTGAAGAGGTAATTCACACATAAGAAGATGGGGGGGGGGATAGGAAACTAGCTTCTTATTCTCAGGCAAGTAAATTTAGGACTTCTAATCCTGTTTAAAGTCTTAAATATGCTTACCTAATTTACCTAATCATAATTACTACAGATAATTCCAATAAAGTAAACTAGTGTTCCTTATTCTTACAGCCCATAATAAAGTGTATTATTAGTTCATTTTCTTCTTGCAGAAAAGAAGAAAAACCAAAATTGGCACTCCAAATTTCCATTTCATAATTCCCATTTCAATTTATTTGGAATAAACTGGAATAAATTATTCCATTCTCAACATATTAGGATGTGGTGACACCGTGGTTAGAATCAAGTATTACAGATTAATTCTGCTGACTGCCAATTGCCAGCAGTTCGGTAGTTCAAATCGCACTGGCTCAAGGTTGACTCAGCCTTCCATCCTTCTGAAGTCATTAAAATGAGGACCTAGACTGTTGGGAGCAATATGCTGACTCTGTAAAGCACTTAGAGAGGGCTGTAAAGCACTGTGAAGCGGTATATAACTCTAAGTGCTATTGCTATCTGTACCATGGAAGACTGTTGGGGAGATATAGGTGTGGATCCTTTTTTCTTTTTGTAAATGTAATAAATAACTGTGGGAAAGGTTTCTTCACCAGCTGAGCTATGTGTGCAAATTCTTCTACACATGCCTGTAAAAAATCACTCAGCAAACTTTACAGATTGTATGATTATCATTCTTTCCTGTGAGCCTCTCATCTATGTTTGTGCTTTTAAAAACTAAACAGAACACATGAACCCCTGCTGAAGGCTGAGAAGCAATGGGTACACATTAGAAGCAGTGTTTCCTATAATGTTTGTTTCCCATAAAAGGACTTCTAGCAAAGGGCCTCTTATTGATCAGATGTTATCAGATTATATTCAGGTGTTGCCTGCTGGAAGTAATATCTTATTTTTATCAGATGGTCACTTATTTGAGTTCCCACTCAAATTACACACTATTGTTTATTGGAGATGTGATGAGATATTCCCCAATCAGAACTATAAAAATACCTCTGGCACAGTATCCACTATTTGAAGTTATGACCAAGTCTCTGATAAGATATGCCACTGATAAAGTATGCCATGAAGCCATCTCCGAATGTATTTATATTCCTTGTCTCTTAAAAAAGTATTAAGATGTGGCAAAAACCTTCAAAAAAACCTTGAATCTCAGAGTAAATCTACAGCCCCCAGCAAGAAGAAGTGTTTTACAACTACTGGTCAGCTCCGGAGGCATATCTGCTACTACTTTTGGAGTTTCTGGTATGCACATAAAATGTGAATAGATATATATTTCTCTCTAACTCTCTTAATACTTATCAAGAACCTGCTTGAGGGAATATCACCCTGGCCCAGTTTATAATCTTTAGAATTCCAATCAACCTGCTGTCTCCTGGCTGGCCTCCAGGTGGAAGTATGTAGTACTTTTTATTAGAGTCACTAATCGATACACTGATTTAATAAAATAATTAAACAGTTTAAACAAATAAATTAAAGCAGTATAACATAAGAACATAAGAAAGTCATTGAAGTAATCAGGGAATTTCTATTTTTAAAAAGATTATAAGAAAATGTATCCACGTTCAAGAATGCAAAATAGAATTGGTCTCATAAAAAGTAATTTCACATAAAATAAATCAGAATAGTCCACAAATTTTGCCAAGTAGAGCATTATAAAGTAGAAGGCAAAACATAACAGGGCGTGAACTATGGCAGGGGTACCCAACTTCTTAGGACCCGGGCCCTGGAAGCAAATGAAGCTGCAGCTGTGCATGCATGGGAACTAGGTCGCACGTAAAACCACCCCCTCTCATCCCCATCTGGTCTGTGGGGAAAAACTGTCATTTCCAGAAAATGGTCCCTGATGAGGGAAAAACTTGGGGACTGCTGAACTATGGATTCAAGGGATCCTTCTCCACAACAGCACAATCTTAAGTTTCTGAGGAAATATTTTATATTTGTCCTCAAGAACGTCTGTTGAGACAACACTGAAATGTGCTAATGTTAGTGCTTTTTGGAATTTTAGGGCAATTACTGGTATACTTAATGGTCACTTGTTCAATGAATGAAATTACAAGATGACTTACAACAGCAATACAGGTAGTCCTTGACTTGCGGCCACAAATGAGCCCAAAATTTATGTTGTTGAGACATATGTTAAGTGAGTTTTGCCCCGTTTTATGACCTTTCTTGCCACAGTCGTTAAGTGAATCCCTGTAGTTGTTAACCCATTTGTTAAAGTGAATTTGGCATCCCCCTTGACTTTGTCAGAAGGTCGCAAAAGGTGATCACATTACCTTGGGACACAGCAATAGTTATAAGTATGAACCAGTTGCCAAGCAACTGAAATTTGATCACATGATCATGTGGAGGGTGTAAAGGTCATAAATGTGAAAAATGGTCATGTCACTTTTTTCATTGCCATTGTAACTTTGAATGGTCACTACCTATATTATAAAAATGCTTCCATAATATAAATTCTCTGAGCGTATGTTTTTCTTTTGCGTAAATTTGGATGCTTAACCAACTAAGCAAAGTTAGAACTTTGGTTCTCAACCAGAGAGTTTTCATACTCAAGACTTCAGAAATTTCAGCACATGATTTGCAGTTTAACTTGACCCCAGTGAGAGTTCACAAGATGTCCCCCATCTGTGTGAATAACTATAAGACTACAGAAACATGGACCCCCTATTGGAGTTCACCCTTGGTTACCTGCTGTTTGAAAAACATCAGCCAGACATTATCCCTACATTCTCAAAGGATCAAGCAAAGGCCAGCCTATATGCACATTGAACTCATACATTCATCCCTCAATGATATTTCCTCCTGTACTTTTTAAAAAAAATAAACTTAATAATCCAAGTAATTGAGACTAAAATCACAAAACTATATTGACAGACACGAACACAGACAAACACACATTGATGCAAAAAAAAAAAAAAAAGGAAAGTATTACTAGTTTTGATTTTGCTCCAAAGTGAAAACATGGTTAGAATTAGCTTAACAAAGTACATCTTTCATTGCACTTTTAGAATTAAATTTCTCTCTCTTTTGAAATATACATTTCTTAATTCTAAAAAAGACATTTTAAAAAACACACAGGACATTTTAATCCATTTTTAGATCAGGCAACATAGTGACCAAGGGTATTTTGGCACTACAATTTGCTTTCTTTGCTCATATTCATTCCACAGCTACTTCCAGGCACAATTCCAGTGACATATCAACTGCCTAACAATAGCAAACTCCAAAGTTCTGCATAATTTTCCTCGAGTTATTTCATATTAAATAGAAGAAAGCCAAGTAACCCTGTAGCACATCGTAAATCAAAGAAAGGCAGGCCAGTAGTATCTCTAGCTGTTCCTCCTTTTTCCAGTTCTTTTGAAACCCCACAGTTTAAATTGATAATTGCATTAGTAAGCAACATTTCTCCTGAAAAATGCCTCCTCACTTTAGGCTTTGTGCCATACAGTAAAATAAAAATGAAAAGCAGAAAGTCAAAAGTATACACTGCTTGTCTTCAGCTAAAGAACTCTTATATTTTACTCTTTAAGACAGAATTGGTACACATCAATTGCAATTTTAATGAATTAATTTTAATAATAATTGCAATTATAATTTATAAAATTTATAAACATTTAATACATTAAAATTTGCAATTTATTATCAGCTTTAAATATTGGAGTAAAAAAATTTGAATGGGCATCCCATATGCCATTTATCACCTTAGTCTACATAATGGCTTATGTATATTCGTACAAAAAGATACAGAAATTGCAAGAGCATAGTGATCCGAGTCATAGAATTTAATTAGTAAAATTCAGAATAAACTGCCTGTGGCACCTCATCATTCATGAGAAACATTCTTCAATATAAATATTTACTGACACTAAACATATTCTGCGTTGATTAGTCCTTTTTATATTATTAAGCTTCTGTCAACTTGACGTTCGCAAAACACAAATTTGCATTTTTCCATGTAAACTTAATTGGTGTCCTATGTCTTGCCATAGATAAACAATTCAACATATTTAACTTGCTGAGAATTTTAATTGAGTTAAGTGAAATCGAAAGAACTTCATTCATGTAGATTTTAGTTGTAAAAGCAT